AAGACAAGTTGCAAATATGTAAACGGACTCATGCATGAAGATGTTTATTGCAGTATTACTTACAATGGAAAGAAACTGCAAGCAACTCAAACATCGAGAAGTGTGACCGTTAAAGATGGCAGTGCACATGCTCAATAGAATAACCTGTTTCCAATTCGATTCCAACTCATGGTGACCCCATGTATTAGAGTAGAACTGCTCCATAGGGTTTTCTTGGTTGTAATCTTTATGGAAGCGGATTGCCAGGCCTTTCTTTGGTGGTGCCACTGGATGGGTTCAAACCTCCAACTTTTAGGTTAATACTCCAGTGCAAACTGTTTGCACTACCCAGGGACCTTAACTAGTTTGATAGGTATCATTTTAAGATCGTTATTTTCACTATAGCTATATGGAAGACGCATAGGACATAACGTTAAATGTGTACCTGTGGGGAATTGCCAGACAGGAAATCCTACCGATCTGGTGATTACAATTACATACCAACTAGATAACTATGACAAAAGCTAAGGAGGAAAATTTCCTCTCTTTAAGTTCAGCTCTGCCACTAGCTAGCTGTCATCCTGAGCAAATCCCTTAACCCTTCCGTGCCTTAGCTGTCCAGTTTGTAAAATGGGGAGTTTGGACTGAATGATCGCTAATGGCTCTTCCATTTTTTGTTTTCCCTGTGGGATAGCCAGTGTCCCCCTGGAGGTCATATTGGAGTTTCCAAAGTGTTATCATTCTGACAAAGTTCCCTCGGGCATTCTGATAATCTCAGGGAGTGTCTCCCCTCCAGCCACCTTGAGAATTACTTACAGGTACATGTGTATGGGTTTGTTTTACGGCCACATGTGTATTTGGCCTCAAGCATTACCCAACTTGGCCAACTACCTGATTCATCAGATTTGACTGCGAATGACTTTCAGCTGTTCTTCCCAACTACATCTCCTTAAACACTGGAGATGTGCCACCCAGGAAGACACATCACAGTTTTGAAGGTAATCTCACCAGTGGAGATGGGAACAGCAACACCCAAACACAAGGGATCCCAAGGTGACCACTTTGAGAGGACTCATTCAGAGGAATTCATTCCAGTCTGCTCACTACAATAGTATGCTCACTACCCATGACCTTGACCACAGGAGATACAGCCTGGGCATCCTGGAGGACAAAGACACCAGTGGATGTGGGGGCCCAACAGAACAGCAGAAGCCGGTTTTACTGATGCTGGGGAGGCATTAAAAAATAAAACCATCACAAAAGGAAGCAGAAAAACCCAGAGAGAGAACATCTTTCTCCTTCTATGCATGGTGACTGGTGCCCTGTGATCTGTTATTTGTCCCAACCCTCCTCTCTCCCCTCCTCTCTTTCTTGGCTTTTGGGATGTATATGTGGTGGGGGGCAGCTGAGTGGAGATGGATTAAATCCTGGAAGATGAACGGCCTAGGAAAGTCTTCACAAGAAACCCTCGGGACTTGAGATCTGCTGGTGTGAGGCTGGCAGGCTCTGGTTCTGAAGTACAACTTCAGTTTGTTTGACAACTTCCAACTGAACGGCAAGATCTGTCTTGATGACTAATGCCAAGGCTCGTGGTAGGAGGCCTGCCACTCAACAGTTCTTTAGACCCGAACTGGAATTCTCTCTGGATGCACAGGTGACCCCAGGCCCCCACTGTGCATTTGTGTTTGCAAAGAGGTGTTATGATTTCCACCAGGATGGGCGCACATATGGGGATGCAGCCGAGACACCAAAACCAGACTTAAAAACAGAGTTCCCACCCTAGTGCAGGTAAGAAAGACACGGCTTTCCTGCTCGGTGTTTGGAGACGCAGTTCACACAACACGACTTAGTTTGTCCTTCAATTGATGCAACTCAGTAATTTTTATTGCAACTGGAAGACAATACATCACAGAAACTTTATGGTAGGTCTGCGGAAAAGTGTTATTTACAATAAATGATGAAATAGTTTGTCTTTGGCAATATGATTACATATGGAGAATGCAAAATGCAAGTATGGACACCTCCAAAGCAACACCGAGTCCCTAAGGTTCGGCTGATCGTGCCTGCCTCCACACTGCTCCTGTAGGTAACACGAAAACAACTGCACATCACTTTCCTTCTCCTTTATGGTTCTCCCTTTCTAGTCATGATATTGGCAGTTTCATACAGAAAATACAGGAAAAAAAATTGGCTTCTGAAAAATTATTACTCTAGTAAAATGAATTTGGCCATCTAGGTCTATCGGCCAGCCAAGGTCAGACGACCTTAAGCATCAAGAGTAAACCTCTTGGTCTTCTGATTGCTTAATCACTGTTTTTATTTTTATTCTTCTGTAAAACAAAAATAAAACTCAGAAATGTTACAGAATCAGAGTATAAAAAAAAATGTACAAGTGTATAATGCTTCCCAGACACACACAGATACGTGTTTCCTCCACATGTTCACCATGGCAGTATGTAAGTAGTGAGTGTGAATGACACAGTATGAGACTGGTTACTGAATCAGCTGTGAGCGCAGATGGCCTCAACATACAAACTCAAGACATGTTGGATGTTTCCATAACCAAAAGTGTGCTAAGTCTTATCTAATAAAAAAAAAAAAAAATAGGGTGGGGTGGGGAACTTTAGGCCAAAGTAATGAAAGGATGTAATACAATTTCACGGTTTGATAGGTTCACCATATCGAAGTCTTTGTGAATCCAATATGGAATATCAATTCTTTGCAAAAGGCAGAGAAAGCCGTTCTCAACTTTTGCAAACGAAATACAGTGGAGAAACACTGCTGTATATATTCCAAATAAATAGTCTTGATTTCAACGCCAACGACACGAACAGGAAGGGTCCTTGGGAGCACATTACGGTAAGTCAGAAGGGATCTTTCACACGGGTCTGATTTCAAAAGTACAACAGCAAGATGCAGCACCATAGACACATAAGTTTCGGCCGTTAAAAGATGGATTGGTTTACAAATCGTATTCTCCTTCCTTCATTTTTGGTCAGTGAAGCTAGCACTTGTTTGCTGAACGGTGGAAGAAATGCAAGGTCACACACATTATTCGTGATAAAGCAACCGGGCTGACGAGTCTGTGCTTAATTCAAGAATAACCAGTCCGAGAGAGAGAGAAAATACAAGGAGCTCGCCACCATGGCTGGTGCTCTCTCGAATGAACCGGGGTTGACAGGTGAGTTCACGAAGGTAGGCAGACCTATACAGAACACTGAATGTGATGTGTAAATCCTCATGAAAACTCCAGAAATAGGAACACCACACAATGTATATACTTTGATTTACACATTCCGTTACAAAGGGGTGGGGGGGAAAGACACCATTACAACTTTGCAACTGTGTTAACTGCAATATAAACCAAAGTCCAGAGTTTGGCAGGTAACTAAAAGAGGGTTATCACTTAGGTTATATAGCAAAAGTGTTGATGTATATTATATATAGTAGTATAAATAATAAAAAAGTATTATTTAAATTAGATCACAGTGTTGCATTTATGTGCATAACAGTGTTTGATATAGGATTGGAGGGCTGGACCTACGACACTAAGGACTTAATATGCCAACACTGGTGAGCCACGATCAAGAGGGGGCACGGAGCTCAAATGTTTTCTTTTGGTGGCAGAACTCTTGAAGATGAAAGGAAAATGCCTACAGAAACCTAAGACTAAATCGCAACATCTGGGCAGCTGTGATCCACCAGAAAGAAACCAGTCCCAATCTGAAGAAAGTCTAAAGGGGAAAAGAAATCACATTGAATTGAATCCAACCCCATATCGAAAACCCTCTCATTTCGGTCACTTAGACGTAACTCTGATTCCTTCTCAAAGAGCCCTTCGGTGCGAGGCTAGAGGCCCACAAACACAGTGTATAGTTATAGAAACTTCAGGCTTTCTGCATGCGAGTCGGCACTACTCGGTGCTGAGCTGTCCTGGTGTTTTGTAGGACTCTGAACTGGCCACCAGAGCCATCCCAGCAGTCTTCAATCAACAGGCCACCACCTGAAGTTGTCCCCCGGGCTCAGAGCCATGGCCTTTTCCAGAATGCCGTAGGGTAGTAACCACTGTGCCTGGCAAAGGCTACCCCTCCTGAATGCCTCTACAAGAAAAGTCAGTTCTTGGGCAAGGCCTCTGACACATTCCTTCTTCACAACTCACCCCTCGAGACTGAAACCTGCCACAGTTGTCTTGGCCCTGGATTTCTGAAACCACCATCTAAATGCGGGCTTGGTTCATTTTTGATTCAGTGAGACAGCTTTACCAGAGAACTCCTGAAAGTATACTGATTAGAGAAGGGGAAGGAAAGGAGGAGCTTATGCTGTATTACAATGCTGGGGGAAAAAAAAAAAACCTATGATGCAAACGCTTTCCACGTAGTACTAGATAAAGATAAAAGACATCTGCAATAGGATTAAAAATAACTGTCTGTGTATATCATTTAAGGAGAAAGAGCTACAGTCTTCTTTCTCTTAAATGTGTCTGAGGGCCAATAGCAACGAGTTGTAGACGTCACTGTGCTGATGTGTTCATGGTTGTTTCCAAAGCATCTTTGAATATTGCTATAGTTCCCTGTCTCCCCCTCCCCCTCCCCCCGCCCCAAGTGAGTATATGAGATACTGGAATGACACATGAAACGCCGCTTCTCCCGACGGGAGAAATGAAAGCAAAAACACCACGCCCCTTAGCGGTGCTCAGCCATCTTGTCAGACTAATGGATGGACGCACAGGCTAGTTTGGAAGCTGAAAGGGCACCTGACGTTTGGGAAGGAATTCCAAGACTAAAGTGAATTACACTTAAGCAAAATATTCTTTCACAAATAGGCTTGTGCTTAAATTCTCTACTGCTCTTGGAGGAGGGGGTGAGAGAGGGCGCCTCTGGCCCCTTGGCTTAAGGACACTGGACAACCTCATACTGCAATGAATGAACTACGAACGGCCACATACACATTGGTACTTTTGTTTTGTTTTTTCTCTCAACAATCAAAATACAAAATTAAACACAATTGAGCCATTGTTTTGGTTATACATAATGTGTATGCCTCCAAAAACAGAAGAAAAATAGAAAAAAGTACCCTCGCTAAAGTTTCCCCAACAAGGCTTCCAGCAGATCCAATGCGGGCTGCCTAGGAGACTTGGGGAAAGAACACTTAGAAAGCTGCCCGATGAGGTATTTATGCAAAAAGAGTGGTTCTGGAGTTAAGAACACACTTTTATAAGATAGTTATCTATTTCTCAAAGAGATCAGAAAAGTAAATCACACACATTGCATTTTATTATTTTCTAGAAGAGGCGTTGGCCCCTTTAGAAAAATGAAATGAGGGGAGACAGCCCACTTGTGGGGAGTTTGAACAGGAAGTGCCCTGCCAGAGACGGTCCTGAATGTTCACCTCTGCCTTTCAAGAGGGAAGTCTGAACTGCATCATCTTGGAGGTGGGCGAGGGTGGGGAGCTGAGGGAGGGGAGTCTTTGGGGCTTGGTTAGATGATGACAAAAATTGGAATGCTGCTCAGGTTCTATAGCTGTGGGTGGCTTTTCGGGTGTCAGACGTTTGGGGAGATGGAGGGAACAGACCAAAAACCAAACCAAGCCCACTGCCATCGAGTCGATTCCAACTCATAGCGACCCTATAGGACAGAGTAGAACTGCTCCATAGGGTTTCCAAGGAGTGGCTCGTGGATTCCAACTGCCATACTTTTGGTTAGCAGCCAAGCTCTTAACCACTGAGCCACCAGGGCTCTGGGGGGAACAGAGCATGGTAAAAATACATCTGTATTCCCACCTACAGCCTGAACAAATATGCTGGAAGGATTCAGGTTAAGGAGTCCCTAGGTGGCACAAAGGATTAATGCACTTGGCTGCTAACGGAAAGGTGGAGGTTGGAGTCCACCCAGAGCCACTATGGAAGAAAGGCCTGGTGATTTACTTCTGGAAACTCAGCCCTGAAATCCCTGTGGAGCACAGTTCTGACACACAGGAGTCACCATGAGTTGGAAACGACTCCACGGCAACTGGTTAATTTTCTTCTTGGTGTTCAGGTAACGAATTTGATCGGTCATATGAGTATAGATTTTGTTAGGTTCTCTCATCAGCAACCCACAGGAAGATAAGGATGGGGCGTGCACCAGTTATCAACCGCTGTCCTGATGGGTGAAGCTTCTAACAGTACCTGGTGCTGGTAAATGGACTCAATTTAGGCCCACAACTGTCTCGTTCTTAAAACTCAAAATCACCCCAGTTCCCTCGCTCTCCCCACCATCATATCCTGAGCCACGATAGTAGTGTTTTTGTTTTATAACTTCCCTCCATTTAGATGGAAGATCATATTCTTTTACAGATTTCCCTTTGGATCTCCAAAAGAAAAAAAAAAAATTTTTTTTTTTTTTTTAGGCAAAGACAACAGGTGTTTCTGGTCTGCATGACACTAATCCGGTTGTCTAAATTCAGCTCTCACAATCTAGGTAGTTTTAATTCCATGTTTGTCAGTGTGTTATAGTGGTGGGGATGGTCAGCCCCTCCTTCCTACTGCAAAATGGCAGTCACAGTAAGATGTCTGGGGCTGGCCTTTCCTACACCTATAGCACTTCCTCCTGAAGGTGTACCCTATCTCCTACCCTCATCCAATAAGGCCCATTAGCATGTCTCCCCTTCTCCTGGCAAATTTGCATAATTATCCACTGCCTTTTTCCTAGAACCAAATCATAGTCATGATTTTCTCAAGTCAGCATCCCATAATTCTCTTGATTCTATCATACACACTCACTACTAAGTTTGCCCTCAAATTATTGCGTCATGTTAAACATGTACAAAGAGAAAGGACACACTTTTAAAAACAGAGAATCAGAGGGGGTTGGGGCTGAATGCAGACAAGGCAGTACAGAGTTCAACCATCCAAGCCCTACCAGAGCGTGAAGAGATTTTCATATTGCAGAGTTAAGTTCCCCAACAGTCAGAATTTGTCCCTGAAGAAGGTTAAACCTTAAACACCTGCTTCAAAAAACCAAACCAAAATAACTGGAAAGCAAATTAAAAAAAAAAAAAA